AGTCGGGGGACAGGCAGTGAGGTCGGCTGGGGGCAGGTTGGGTTGGAAGTACCTACAGGCCATCCAAGCTCACATGACTGTACTGGTTTGAAACTCCGGAATTCAAGCAAAGAGACCCCTGCTTAACTTTAATTCGATGGCCCTCTCTGAATATAGACATCCTGGCCCTGTCACCTCTGAAGCTTCGCCATTCCAGATGATGCCAAATGTGATTTCAAATACATTTCATCCATTCCGAGCAAGTCTTCTCTGATTCGGAAACACAAAGGCTGTCACTGCCAGCGTGTGTGTGGACCAGGACCAGCCCTCTGGAGAGGAGGGGCTCTTACGGGCCTTGGTACATTTTGTGTTTAAGCACACATGTGTTCTTCATGAGTGCCCCCAAGGTGTGGAAGAAAAAAAAAAATCTCATTGTGTGGTAGTGACAAAATGCTGATGAAGCAAACTATCAACAGCCCTCTGGAGGAATAACTTTCAAGGTAGGATGAACTGCGTGTATGGAATTTGGAAACAATGGTTTTTTGGAAGTGGCTGAAAGCCACAGAGACAACCGGGAGAGCCGGGCGACATCGGCCCCATGGTGTCTAGCGTGGGCCCCAAGGCTTGGTGACTTCAGGGACTTCATCACGGCACCGTCCGCCTCATTGCGTCAAGCAAAGGTGCCAATTAGAACAAGTTTCGGAGGAAAAATACGGCCTCCAGTGAATTGAACAGGCTAATTTAAACTTTGGCAAACTGGCTCACTCCGGAGCTCATTAGAAATTTTCCTCAACAGCAAGTAATGAATAACTTTCTTAATCACTTTCTGCTTATAAATGTAATACATGTTCACTGTAAAAGAAGAGGAAATGTGGGCAAGTTTGGAAGAGAAAATAAAAAACCAACCATTATCTCGCCGCCAAGGATAACGACAATGAAAATGTGGTGTATTTCTGGATAAATGAGCTGATTCTTGTCTAGTGCCTACGACAGTGGTTTGGGACGTGGTAACCACCCAACAAATGTTACTGGTTATCATTATTCTCATTGCTAGTAGGCTTAGAACAGTCTTTTCCGACGCTATCCCTCCCCCAGCCCCCCACCCCCGACAGACCCCGGTGTGTGATGTTCCCCTCCCTGTGTCCGTGTGTTTTCATTGTTCAACTCCCACTTATGAGTGAGAACACGCAGTGTTTGGTTTTCTGTTCCTGTGTTGGTAGGTATGGCTGGGCCTCTCCTGGTCTCATTACGAGCCAGCCTGGCCACTTAGACCACCCCACCAGGCCAAATTCTGGAAAGGGGGCTGGAAATCTGTGTAGAGCGGGGGAGATTGTTCTCATCATATAGGTGAGAGATGATGCCGACCTGGCCTGGGGAGGTGGAGACGACACATTGAAGTGAAACTGGATTAGGATGGAAGGTGAGATGGACAGAGTGCGGGGCCATGAAACACGTACGCTAAGACAGAGAACGAAGCAGAGGGAAGCCATTCGGGAGTCGGGGACAGGCAGTGAGGTCGGCTGGGGGCAGGTTGGGTTGGAAGTACCTACAGGCCATCCAAGCTCACATGACTGTACTGGTTTGAACTCCGGAATACCCATGAGACCCCTGCTTAACTTTAAATTCTGATGGCCCTCTCTGGAATATAGACATCCTGGCCCTGTCACTCCTGAAGCTTCGCCATTCCAGATGATGCCAAATGTGATTTCAAATACATTTCATCCATTCCGAGCAAGTCTTCTCTGATTCGGAAACACAAAGGCTGTCACTGCCAGCGTGTGTGTGTGGACCAGACCAGCCTCTCTGAGAGAGGAGGGGCTCTTACGGGCCTTGGTACATTTTGTGTTTACACACATGTGTTCTTCATGAGTGCCTCATGTGTGGAAGAAAAAAAAAAATCTCATTGTGTGGTAGTGACAAAATGCTGATGAAGCAAACTATCAACAGCTCCTCGGAGGAATAACTTTCAAGGTAGGAGAACTGGGCGGTGGTGGAATCGGGAAACAATGGCTTTTTTGGAAGGGCTGAAAGCCACAGAGACAACCTGGGAGGGAGCCGGGTACATCGGCCCCATGGTGTCTAGCGTGGGCCCCAAGGCTTGGTGACTTCAGGGACTCCATCACGGCACCGTCCGCCTGGCTGCGCCAAGCAAAGTGCCAACAGAACAAGTTTCGAGGAAAAATACGGCCTCCAGTGAATTGAACAGGCTAATTTAAACTTGGCAAACTGGCTCACTCCGAGCTCATTAGAAATTTCTCAACAGCAAGTAATGAACATATCCTCTTTAATTCACTTTCGCTTATAAATGTAATACATGTTCACTGTAAAAGAAGAGGAAATGTGGGGCAAGTTTGAAGAGAAAATAAAAAACCAACCATTATCTCGCCGCCATATGATAACGACAATGAAAATGTGGTGTATTTCTGGATAAACATTGATTCTGTCTAGTGCCTACGACAGTGGTTTGGGACGTGGTGTGTAACCACCCAACAAATGTTACTGGTTATCACATTCTCATTGCTAGTAGGCTTAGAACAGTCTTTCCGACGCTATCCTCCCCCAGCCCCCCACCCCGCCAGACCTCCCGGGGTGTGATGTTCCCTCCCTGTGTCCGTGCTTTCATTGTTCAACTCCCACTTATGAGTAGGAGAACACGAGTGTTTGGTTTTCTGTTCCTGTGCTAGGTTTGCCGAGAATGATGGTTTCCAGCTTCAACTGCTGCCCTGCAAACGACACGAACTCATTCTTTTTCATGGCTGCATATATTCCATGGTGTATATGTGCCGCATTTTTAAAATCCGGTCTAACATTGATGGGCATTTGAGTTGGTTCCAAGTCTTTGCTATTGTGAACAGTACTGCAATAAACATACGTGTGCATGTGTTTTTATAGTAGAGTGATTCATAATCCTTTGGGTATATACCCAGTAATGAAATTGCTGGGTCAACGAGTTGATGGGTGCAGCAAACCAGCATGGCACACGTATACCTACGTAACAAACCTGCACATTGCGCACATGTACCCCAGAGCTTAAAGTATAATAATGGAAAAATGAAAGAAAGAAGAAAGAAAGAAAGAAAGAGAGAGAGAGAGAGAGAGAGAGAGAGAAAGGAAGGAAGGAAGGAAGGAAGGAAGGAAGGAAGGAAGGAAGGAAGGAAGCGCGCATTACGATACTTTATTGAACAAACCTGCACATTGCGACATGTAATCTAGAGCTTGTTATAATAATGGTAAAATGAAAGAAAAAGAAGAAAGAAAGAAAGAGAGAGAGAGAGAGAGAGAGAGAGAGAGAGAAAGGAAGGATGCTGGAAATGTGGAATGGAATGTGGTGGCTGTGAAGGTGAAGTAAATAAGGAAGGAAGGAAGGAAGGAAGGAAGGAAGGAAGGAAGGAAGGAAGAGAAAGGAAGGAAGAAAGTCTTTTCCATTCCAACAATCAAATAAAGTTCATCTAAATTTTTTCCCAATGTTTTCACTTTTATTGTTCCTATATTAGGTCAATACATTCTAAACTCTTCAGATACTATAGCAATATTTCTCTATATAGCATTCCCCCTCCCCTGTGCTTCTACTGAGATACGTATCGGCAGCCTGAGAAGTCGGTGTTCCTTTGTCCACACCCATCGCTGTGCATCCGTTTCATTTCATTCGCTCCACAGTCAGCTACACCTCAGAGTTGTCCTTCAAAGGGTGAGAAACTAAGACATTTATCCAGTGACTCTTGGCCGCATCGGTGGGGGGCTGTGTCCAAGGGTACAAATTCCCCCGAGCTTCTAGGCCCACCCTGTGCAGGGCACAGGAAAAAAAAGGAGATGTGTCGGGAGCTGCAGGAGGGTCGCTGGCACAGGGCACAGAGGTGCCCATCCCAGCAGCTGAGAGTCAGAAGGCACGTGCAGGGGGCCCAGAGGCTCAGCAGGATCTGAAATGTGAGAAGATGTCTACAAACACAGAGGTGCAGGAGGAGGCCGGAGATGACAGTCACTGGAGGGGCTCTGAGATGTGCACAGAAAACAGGACAGAGCTTGGTAGCAGCACTCATTTGTCGCCCTGGCACACACAGCCTGTGTTTTCTCCTTGACGGCCCCATCTCAGTAGGACCCAATAATGCCAATGCCTGGAGATCCCCCTGGACAATGGTCTTTGTCCTCCACATCTGGTCCTCCCCTACACCTGGGGCTTGGACCTGCTAAGGAGCTCTTTCCAGCTTTCTAGACACCTGTGGAATCCCTTCACCCATCCTTCCCCGCCAGTGTGGCTGCTCTCCAGCCCACTCTCATCCTGCTCTCCCGCCAAGTGCCTCGGCTCCAGGGGGACGAGGCTTTCCCTGGGCTGCTGCCTTCCCTGCTCCCTTCCCAGTCCCCAGAAGGGTGCCGGCTGCAGAGGCCTCCAGAGCAGAGCCTTGCTCACCGCATCAGCTCCAGCTGGAGGAGGTTCCCCCTACCTCCTGTACCCCAACCCCTTCTTAAAGCAGCAGAGGCGGAAGCCGGAGCCTGCTTTGGAAAATGGCATGCTTTTATTGCTGTGTCTGCATTGACTTTTTAGCGCTCTAAGAGTGTCCCCGCAGTCCTGCCGCCCTCTGCCAGCCCCAGCCCTCCAGCCTCTGTTCCCGTGTCGGGGAAGCCTTTCTCAGGGTCACTCAGCTGTCTCAGGACTGGATGTGGCACAGACATACGTAGGTAAAAGCTGCTACACGGAAGACTGGAGGTGCGGGAAGTGCATTCGCTTTAAGCCTAGAGGTGGGAGCCGTGTCCGGGGTCCTTTCCTGGGGGTGTGCCTGTTACCAAAATACCAAGGGTTTGGTCTAGGTCCTGCTGCTGGCGGCACAGAAAGCCAAAGACTGAGACGAAGACAATTACCAGGGAAGACAGCTTTAATTGGGTGCTGCAGCCGGGGGATGGGAGTTAAGTCTCAAATCCATCTCCCTGACTAAAACTAAGGGTTTATATAGCAGGGAAGAAATGCACCAATGTGTAGGAAAACAGGAACTCGGGAGGGCCCAGAAAGCAATCCTGATGAATGAGGGGGTCCAGCATCTCATTGCCTGGATGTGGTGATCTGGTGAGTTTCGGTTCTTTGATACTTTGAGAGGCCCCAAGGTCATTTCCTGAGGAAGGAATTCAGATAAAACAACTGTAAGGTTCAAGCTTGAAGACCAGAAGGGTCAGTTTCTATGTTTATCAAAAAGAACAGCCTACGGGACGATTGGATCGGTTTCATGCCCAGCCCAGGGTGCAGGATGTGGGAAGCCTGAGTTGGCCTGGTGAGCAGCCCAGACACCCGGGATGGAGGAGTGCAGCCTCTCCTCCCACAGACTTGTGAACAGGGTGTGGAGACAGACACCCAGCTCCTAGGACCATGCCACCCCCACCCCTGCCTACCTCTCGCAGCACCTTTCCTGTGGATCTGACGCCCTTCCAGACACAGAAGTAGGCCAGCACCCGGCAGGCCAGCAGACCACAGGGCCACCTCCCAGCTGAGGGCCCTCCGCACCTCCGACGCTGCCAGGGGAGCAAGGGAAGGAGGGAGAGAGGGAGATCCCATGAGGTCTGTGCTGGGAGACAAGGGAACTATGGGGTCCCCCCAAGGAGTCCTGGCTCCCTTCCCTCCCCCAGCTCTGGTCCCGCTGGTGCCTCCCATCCACATGGGCTGGACCTGGGGCCACCGGAGCCCCTGGGTTTTTGGGGGCCCGACCTGGGGCCAGGGAGCCCCTGGGTGACGGGAGGCCACCCCCGAACCACCCGACCTGCAGCTCCAGCTCCCCCACCAGGCTGGGCGACCAGGACAGGGACCGAAGCTGCTGAACCCAGTTAGAGGCCTGGCCCCGGGGTCTGTCCTGGGCACTCCCCCAAGGACAGGCAGGGCAGGCAGAGTCTGGGACGATGGCCGCACAGCCCTGGCCCCATGTTCCCAGACCTGCCTTGCTCCTCGGTGTGAGGGAGACCAAGGGGACGGGACAGGCTGGGCCCCGCCGTGCCTGACTCCCTGCAGGGCTCCCGGGACAAGGGCCCGGCGGACAGCCGGCTGCTCAGGGGTGAGGGGTCCAGGCTGGCATCGTGGCCACCTTCCGGCCCGGGCTCTCTTGGGGCGGGGCGGGCGGGGAGAACCAGTCACGTGCTCCAGGGCTCGCCCAGGGTCTCTCAGGGCCGGAAGTAGGACCCCTGTGCGCAGGCGCCCTGAGGATCCCGGGCTGCCAGTCGCACGCACGCCAGGGGGCGGAACTTCCTGCAGCCTCACTGCCTCCGCGTCCTCGTGGGCCCCGACTTTGTCTCTGAGCGCGCCACAGAGGCCCAGGAGCCATGCAGGCCGCAGGCCAGGGCACAGGGGGTGCGGCGGGCGATGCTGATGGCCCAGGAGGCCCTGGCGTTCCTGGTGGCCCAGGGGGCGATGCTGGCGGCCCAGGAGAGGCGGGTGCTGCGGGCGACGGAGGTCCCCAGGGTGCAGGGGCAGCAAGGGCCTCGGGGCCGGGAGGAGGCGCCCCACGGGTGCCGCGTGGCAGTGCTGCTTCTGCACAGGATGGAAGCTGCCAGTGCGGGGCCAGGGGGGCGGAAAGACGCCTGGTTCAGTTGTATCCTGTTGGGGGCAACAGGGTCAAGAGGTGGGGGGCAGGGCCAGGAGGTGGGGGAGGGCAGGGCCAGGTGCAGGAGGTAGGGTTTGGGAGATGGGGGTAAGGGGCCGGGTGGGGGGGGAGTGGGGGCTGGGAGTTGGAGGTGGGGAGGTGTGGCTCGGAGGAAGGGAGCAGGTAGGGGATGGGAGGTGGAGCGTGTGCACGGTGGGTGCTGGGCGATGGGGTGACGGGCAAAGCGCCAGGAGGTAGGGGATCTTGGGTATGAGAAAGGATCAGGAGTTGGGGGGAAGCGTGCAAGGTGGGAGCCGGTGGCTGGGGTGTGGGCTGGATGGGGCTGGGGGGGTTCAAGTGATGGGGGGACGGCTGATGCGGCAGGGGTCATGGTGGGGAGGGCCTTGGAAGGGCACACAGGAGTCAGCTTGGGGTACAACAGAGGAAAGTGGGGAATCAAGACAGCTGGGTGGGGTTGCTTCAGGACCTGGGCCAGTGCGTGGGAAGACAGCCTGTGGGGATGAGATGGGCACCGGCCAAGTCCTAGGCATAGTCCAAGCTCCTTAACGGGGTCCCCACCGGGAACATCACGATGCCTTTCTCATCGCCCATGGAAGCGGAGCTGGTCCGCAGGGTCCTGTCCCCGGATGCCACACCGCTCCCCCGACCAGGGGCGGTTCTGAAGGACTTCACCGTGTCCGGCAACCTACTGTTTATGTCGGTTCGGGACCAGGACAGGGAAGGGACTGGGCGGACGATGGTGGTGGGTTGGGGGCTGGGATCCGCCTCCCCGGAGGGGTAGAAAGCTAGAGACCTGGGAACACCCAAGCACAGGGTCTCAGAACAGAGACCTGGTACACCAGGTCCGCCGCCACCCGAGGGAGCCCGGGGAGATGGGTGCAGAGGTGTCGCCTTTAACCTGATGTTCTTCGCCCCTCACATTTAGCCGACTGACTGCTGCAGACCACCGCCAACTCCAGCTGCCCTTAACCTGATGTTCGCCTCACATTTAGCCGACTGACTGCTGCAGACATCACCGCCAACTCCAGTTCCATCAGCCCTGTCTCTGCAGCTTTCCTGTTGATGTGGATCGTGCAGTGCTTTCTGCCTGTGTTTTTGGCTCTGCTTCACCTGTGACAGAGGCTAAGCCCAGCCTGGTGACCCTCCTCCCCTAGGTCGCCCTCCTCCCCTAGGATGGTCCTCCTTACCCAGTGCCACTTCATTGTGGGGCCTGATTGTTTGTCGCTGGAGGAGGCCGCTTACATGTTTGCTTCCCGTAGGACAAAGTGCGAGCCAGATTCCGTGTCTGAGTCCCTTTTCGCGAGCGCATGCCCTTTCCTTCTCGACTTCAAGGCACCCTTAACTCGGTTGGGGAGGCCTCAGATTCAGAGATTGAAGTAGCACAAGGTAATGGAAAGACAATTTGGGAAATGGGGAAAAAATGAAAAGCCACTGGGTCCCGCCATTCAGCTTTAACCACGTGAGCCATTTTAGAATACTTTCCTCAATATGCTTGCATTTATATGTTAAATGTATGACAGCAGCATATATGATGTTTTTCCAGCTCAGCATTAAATTTGTTCCCAAATTGTCTTCATTGAGCATATATGAGCTTTTGTGCTTTCTAAAAATGCTTCAAAAACATGTGCTTGAACAGATGCATAAAACCAGCATTATCATTTCACCATTAAACATGTGATATGGGCCGGGCATGGTGGCGCGCACCTGTATTCCCAGCGTTCGGGGAGGCTCAGGTGGGAGGATGGCTTGAGACCTGCAATTGGAGGCCACTCTGGGCAATGTAGCGAGATTCTGTCTCTATGAGAATCATTTAAAAATTAGGGGTGGAGGGCGTGGTGGCAGGCACCTGTAGTCCCAGTAACTCAGGAGGCTGACGTGGGAGGGTGGCTTGAGTCCAGGATCTCGGGGCTGCAGTGAGCTATGAATGCACCCCTGAGCTCCAGCCTTGGCGACAGAGCGAGACCCTGTCTCTAAAATAATAATAATAGTAATAATGTGAACAACGTAAAATGTTTGTAAACACGGAATGTTAACAAAACGCAGATTCTCTTACCGCTTGCAGAGTCCAATGAACAAGAGCGATGTCTGCTATTAAGAAACGGACTTTCTGCCATGCTTGGTTTAGGGGAAGACGTACAGGCTCCTGCCTTTAAGGGCACTGCTTCCCTCTGGGGGCAGAAAGCAGGGCCTTTTAATGGGGGACTTGGCATGAATGGCACACAGGAGAGGAAGCAGGCAGCTGCGGGGTCTCTGTGACTTGCTGAGTTGCCTTGTCTACCGGGTGGTCACGCTGGCACCATCTTGGGCAGAGCTAGTTTGGAAAGTGGCTGTTGTTTGTCAAAGCAAAAGAGACATATTCTTGAGCTGTCTTCTGGGATGCTCTTAAGTTGCTTGGAAACAAGATCCCTTTGAGTCTTGCTTTCAGGATTTATTCAGTGGGACCAGAGCATATTTTAATGTAAGATTAAAGTATTAGTTGACAATCTCCAGTGCTTGGCAAGGCTGTAGTTGGAAACAAGGACTCATACGCTGTCAGTAGCAGTGGTAGTAGCATCTATTTGGACATTTATTTGGCATTTTCTATTAAGGGGAAAATGTGCATACCCTTTCACCCACCTTGAGGAATCCATCTGAGAAACTCCTGGATAGGCAAGTGAGGTCGAATCCACCAGCATCTTAATGACACCATCACATAAATAGTTTTTAGAATGTAAATGTTCATCAGCTGCAGAAAAATTAAATAAATCACTGCACAACTGCCCCAGGGGAAAAGTGTGAGGAAGCTAGAGAGAGAGCATGGTAGATAGTCGGGTACTAGCATAGAAAGAGGTTAAAACAAGTCACCAGATCTCTGCATATAGGCTATGGCACACTCTTGTTTTGGCAGTGTGCTCCCGCCATGTGAGCGTGTAGGGATGTGCACAGTAACTCCCTGGACAGCCACCTCCACGCTCAAGAGTGCTCATCGCTGGACAATAGCGTTAGGGAAAGAAAACCTTCACCTTTTAAACCTCAGACTTCCATGCTGAAATATTTTCATCAAGCATGTATTACTTTGGAAATACACGTCTTTACTTTGTAAAAGAAGAGTCTGCTCGAATAAGAAACCATCTCTCCTAGTCCTGTTCTTTCAAAACATTGGAAGTGGATTTTGAGTGTGTTGAAATGTCTGTGCCACAGCAGAGGGCATCTGTTGGTTTTGTCAGCCAACCTCTGTTCCCCTGTACCAGTGTCCATATTTCCCCTAGAACCACTCCCTCCCTTTCCCTTCAGCAGTTTTGATTCTGCTGGAGTTGACTTCACCCCAGATTCCAGGTGGAATGGCTCATCCTTCCTCTCTCACCACGCGATGCCAGCTTTCCGCCACCTCCCGCCAGGAGTAGATGCGGTCTGAGGCCCTCACCAGAAGCAGATGCTGGCACCACCCGTCTTATAGCTGCAGAACTATGAGCCAAATAAAACTCTTTATGAATTTCTCAGCATCAGGTACCCCTCTATAGCAACACAAATAGACTAAGACAGGGATTGAGTCCTTGCGGATAAGCCCTCAAAAGCTGTGATGGTAGAAAAAGCAGTGAAGGAGTCTTCTGTGGATACGAATCCAAATAGGGAGGGGTGAGCCTGCAAGGGAGTCCCAGGAGGAAAGGGAGGAGGAGAACGGGCACAGGGACCAGCTCTTTCCAGATAGGGCTCCCCAACCTGGTCCACAAGTGTGGATTTCATTCACCCAGAGCATGAGTCTTTAGTTTCGTTGTCCCATGACCCCATCCCGCCACCTCTGCTCAAACATGGCCCAGGTGCAGCCGGCCACCCTAATCCCACGGCCGGATGGCTGGAGCTCGTAGCTTTTAAACCCAAGTCAGGTGGCCTCAGTCCTCTGCTCTAAGCTGTCCAGCGGGCTTCCCTCACTCACAGTGAAAGCCAGAGCCCTGACGGCAGCCTGCAGACCCGACATGATCAAGCGTTTCCTCTCTGGCCTTCTCACCTCCCACACTTCCCCTTGCTCACGCTGACGCAGCCACACAGGGCCCCTGGCCCTTTCTGGAACACACCAGGCACACTCCTGCCTCACGGCCTTTGCACTAGCTTTCTCCTGTCGAGAAATCTCTTCTTCCAGCGTTGCACACAATTGTCACCCTCTCAGAGAGGCTTTTCTGGCCAGCCTCTTTAATACCGCATCCGGCCTCCCCCGCCTTCTGCCTGGTCCTGTCTGTCACTCCCTCTCCTTTCAGGGCCCAGGTGTGCGGGAGACATCTAGCCAGGGTGACCTGCCCCGCAACACCCAGCTCAGGGCTCAGCCCGGGGACCCAGGCTTGAGCCAGCCGCTCCCCAGGACAGGAGGACGGCTCAAGACTGAGAAGCCCCCTCCTCACCCATTCCACCACCCATAGCTTTCACTGGGCCTGAGGCTGGCGATCTTCAGCTTCTGTCGCCTTGAGGCATCTCGGTCCAGAACCGTAAGAATCTGGGGAGAAGAGGATCCCCTGGAGCTAGGCTCTGTATGAGGGGAAGCAACTCTCCGTACAAAGCCCCCATTTCCCAGCTGGGCTCTTCCCTCCCACACACCTCACCCCTCCGTTCTCCCCCACAGCACCTGTACAAGCCCACCAGCTTCTCCGCAGCCCCCAAATACCCCTCCAACGACAGCACTTTCTCCTCCTCCTCTCCCGGCTGAAAGTGCGCCCTTCCCACTATGGTCTGGACTGTGGACTACTTAGTGCCCACTCTTCTTCCCCATTCCTTCCTAGCCCAATCATCTCAACTTTTCCTCTTAAGACCCTAGAAAAAGAAGAAAGCTAGCCCCAGACAAGCAGGAGGAGGACCTAATAAATCACAAAGCAGACATCAGTGAAACAAGTCAAGGCTAGTAAAAATGCTCTTGGCAGGGCGTAGTGCCTCACGCCTGTAATCCCAGCACTTTGGGAGGCTGAGGCGAGCGGATCACAAGGTCAGGAGATCGAGACCATCCTGGCTAACACAGTGAAACCCTGTCTCTACTAAAAATACAAAAAAAAAAAAAAAAAAAAACCGCCGGGCGTGGCGGTGGGCGCCTGCAGTCCCAGCTACTCAGGAGACTGAGGCAGGAGAATGGCGTGAACCTGGGAGGCGGAGCTTGCAGTGAGCCAAGATCGCGCCACTGCACTCCAACCTGGGCGACAGAGCGTGACTCTGTCAAAAAATATAAAAATAAAATAAAAAAGAATGCTATTTAACAACTCTGTGACAATAAATTATTATTGATGAAATGTATAATTTCATTCAGAAAGATACATATTACTAAGAAAACTGACCCAAAGGGAAAAAAAGGGTTTTATATCCAACTACCCATATCAGTTCATAATTAAAAACCTTCCCACATAGAAAACTCCAGGCTGGATGCTCTACTGGTTAATGAATCAAACATTTAAGAAAGAAATTCTGGCCCCCTGAGGTGGCTCATACCTGTAATCCCGGCATTTTGGGAGGCCAAGGAGGTGGAGAATTGCTTGAACCCAGAGTTTGGGCCAGCCTGAGCAGCATGGTGATACCTCGTCTCTACTAAAACCAGAAAACATTAGCCAGGCAATGTACGCCGTGCTTGTAGTCCCAGCTGCTCGGGAGGCTGAGGTGGGAAAATCACCTGAGCCTGGGGAGGTGGAGGCTGCAGTGAGCCTTGACTGTGCCACCGTACTCCAGCCTGAGCAACAGAGGAGGTGCTGTCTCAAAAAAAAATTTTTTAAATAAGGGGGATGAGAATGTCCCTCTTATGGGGCACACCATGTCTCAGTACTACAGTCAGCCAAAGAACAGATCAAGTAGTCCCTCCTTCCAGTGAATAACTCACCATTTCTGGCTCCTCACCTCCTTCCAAACAAGTACCCCGTCTGCCGTGAATTTTCATCCGGTTCCCCAGCTGATGCTCTCAGGGTCATCTCGGGAATCACAGGGATCCTTAAATCTCCATCCTGTCTGCTT